TAGATAATCATGCATTAAGAAATGAAACATCATCTTATCTTTTCACATAGAATGTTAGAAGACTTCATAACCTCAGAAATTAAGAGCCTTCTATAGCCAAGCTCTCTTTCACAAAGAAGAAAATACCATATTTTTTAATCTGAACAAAACTTGTGACATCTGGACAAACCCTCCCTCCCCCTCAAACGGCAACACTGTTCTAATTGAAGTACAGATGAAATATTAATCTTCCTCTCCTGTTATCACCTCATGTTTTAAATGGATGACTACCTCACCTTCCAAAGACAGTGTGTTTCCATAGGAGTTTACGTGCAATGAATGCGGTCACTGTGAGCAGATGCCTCAGTATAACCTCGCATCACAATAACAACCTATGGCTCCCCCAGCATTCACTATTTAATACAATACAATCACATCCCTTTTTTCACTGATAAAAAATTAATTGTGTTTTGTATACAAAGATAAGCTCCCTTTTCATTATTTAGCAACTTGTCAATGTAGCTTCAGTTTCACCCTTGTACATTATTGATTGCCACCTGTGTTGTCATTCCATGCTACACCAACTTTTATTTATTTTAAAAATATATATATAAAAATTCAAAAGTTACAGTCTGAAGATGCTTTCCATTCCCCCTCTACAGAAAAATCCACGCATGGTCTATCACTGCAGCTCAGTCGTGGTTCTCCACTCAGGAAGTTTTACGAGGCATTTTGCAAACCCTGCGACTTCAGCACTGTGTGTGGTGGCGGGGTCGGGTTTTGTTGGTGGGTTTGTTTGTTTGTTTGGTTGGTTTGGGGTTTTTTTAAATAAAGAAAAAAGCAATCTAGAAATCTGCCCAGTGGTGCAAGGTGAGGTGAAAGACAACTGGACTGGTTTCCCTGTATCAGGCCAAAATTGGCAACCCACTTCCTGAAGTAATACGTTATCAAACGTTATCACTGCTTCAATGAGACACTAAAGAGTATCAGATGAAGAGCTACCCCACTTTTAGACTTGTCTTATCCACCTCCAGCTTCAGAAAAACATAAAAATTACGTTTTTAAGCTTTTACGATATGCAAAAAACGTATTTAGAGATGAAGAGTGTAATTCATTTAAAATTAAAATTTTTATTTTGATTCAACAAGGCCAAGTGCAAGGTCCTGCACATGGGTTGGGGAAATTCCCAATATCAATATGGTCTAGGGGATGAGTGGACCGATACTTATTACCTAGGCTATTTTATGTTTTGCTGTATACAACAAATGAAATACCGGATTGATAAAAACACAAGTGATAGACTTCAGATGGACTACTCAGGCAAGCCCATGGCTGGTCACATCTGGCTAGTACCCCTCTACTCCCCTCTGGTGAGACCCCACCTGGAGTATTGAGTCCAGCTCTGGAGTCCTCAGCACAAGAAAGACATGGACCTGCTGAAGCAGGTCCAGAGGAGGGCCCTGAAGATGATCACATGGGCTGAAGCACCTCACTTATGAGGACAGGCTGAGAGAGTTGGGGTTGTTCAGCCTGGAGGAGAGAAGGCTCCGGGGAGATCTTATAACAGCCTTCCAGGACTTAAAGGGGGCCTAGAGGAAAGATGGGGAGGGACTCTGTCCACAAGAGCACACTGCTGGCTCATATTTAACTGGTCATCCACCAGTACTCCCAGGTTCTTCTCTGCAGGGTTGCTTTCCAGGAGGTCGGCCCCCAATCTGTACTGGTGCCTGGGGTTATCCCCCCCCAGGTGCAGGACCCTGCATTTTCCCTTGTTGAAGGGAAAGTGCAGTTTTTGATAACACTGTGCTGGGAACTGACTCATACGCTATTCTGACACCTTGCTACTGTCCACAGAGCAAGCATTATGATCCTGAAAGCATTTTTACAAGGTGAAGTACTTATGCCCAGGTTCAACACTTACCTATCAAGTCCTAACAAAATCTCTGGGTTAGAAACAAAGGTGTAGTTCACTCTTTACTCTAAAACAAAACCAATTAATATCTATAATATGTAACAATAAGCCTAATTCCATTTAAATAACTAAATAGACATTGCTTTTAACCAGTTTATCAACTCAAGTCACAAGGTATCAATGTGAAAATAGCAATGATCAAGTCAAATTAATTCAGGGAATGATTGCAAATGCATGAGTGATTAAATAAAAAGTGTGCACAAAGTACCATTACTTCTTATGAAATTCAGTGTCATGTGATGTTGGGAGCAGCACAGAAGAGGACATCTTATTATATACACCAATACAAAAATATTTTAATGAATTGAATTATTTGTGTTGCAGGGGAAAAAGCCTCAGATGAACCAGCACTGCATATTACTCAAGATTCACTGATGCAAACATGTTTTTCTTAAGAAAAACAAAGTACTTTCCCTCTGTTACCATCAATCAAGTTCCACAAACCAAAGTACGATATCCTACCTACCCTTTTTATCATTTAAGAGAAACTTACATAGCTTTTCATCATGCATCTCTGGGTACTTAATTTATTGTTAATTTTAACAGAAACCAGCAGAGGAAGAAGTGTTTTATTCTGTTGGACACGCATTAAACACACAATAAATGCAAGATACTGCATTAATAGATACATTGTGCTCTTATAACATTCTACCACTAGCACATGAACACCAAAGCAAACCAAGGGATGTAATTTTTATAATAGGATACCATAACTGGAAAAAAAATGTTATATTGCATTAATGTGAAAATGAAAAGTGAAGCTTTGAATTCTTACTTATAGATGTATGCTTACTCACAGATATATGCTACTCAGCATTGTGCTATACAGTCAGCTGTATTCAACTGACAGCCTTTGAAATCCAAGTTGCAAGATCTTCAGAAGTTTTGAAAAGTTATTTTCCTGTAAAAAGTGTGATTTTTATAATCAAATAGTACTAAGGCAAAGCAGTATAAGACGACATTCAGTTGCAGTTCTTTATTAAGGAAGCATCAACAGTCTTGAAGACTGAAGTTCTCTGCATATCCATGGGAACACCACAATGCAATGTGTCTCTTCAACTTGCCTTGACTAATACTGCTAGATTGATTTTTGAAAAATAAAATAAAATAAAATAAAAAATATTTTTTCCTCTTACCATGCAGTATTTGATCAGCAAACACCTACATTCTGAATCCTTACTAAAATACTGCTTTCTTGTTTGTCATTTATATGACAAATTCTAAAAACCAAAAAAACACTGCTCTCACACAAAGTACTACAAAATAATGTAAGTCCTAATTAGCAAAGCCATTTTTGACATGACATTTGACGATGATCTGACCTATTCTGCAGAACTTTGAAAATTAGAAATTACAAAAATAGCTACATGAAAAAAATAAAACCATCTATATCTTTTCTTTCAGCTCTAGCAACAGATTGTTTCAGTAACAGCAATCTGTTTGACAAATGAAAAGAAGAAATTACCAGGCATCAGAAGGTATTAAGTCACAAGGTGGTGAGTCACTACATAGCAAGCCAAGCAAACTGACCAAGTAGCTATCAAAGCCTGCATTTCTTGCGTTCCTACAGGTAAAACATTCAGAGAAGCTACTTTTTGAACAGAGCAACTCCTCAGATTTGTCTGTACTACAATAAACAAACCGGAAAGCCCGTGCGTCTGCAGAGAAACAGGGAATAAACTGTCAACTCCGGGGAGAGAACAACAAACAAGGAGATTATCCTGCACCATGATATTGTTCATCCACCCTTATTATCAGAAAACCTTTCCTGAAAAGAGAGTTTGGAAAGAATTTGCCTAGAAAGTTTGTGGAATGTCCATTACTGCAGGTTTGTAAGAGCAAGTCAGATAAATACTTGTGAAGAGAGATTTAGGTACAGCTGATCCATCACACAGAAGACTAAAGTCAATCAACTTTCAAGATAACTCTCACCCCTATTTTTGATTCCTCGCTCCAAGTCACTGAATTTGGATTGTTACCAAACTTTCAGTTTCCAGTTTGGTAAACCCTTAAACTCTACATTTTTCTCTAGGGATAGTACAGTAGGAAACTGAAGATACTCAAAGCACACAGAAGTATTAGAGCTGTTTCTGACATAACATACACTGACTATCAACTCTGTAAGCGCTCTTCATACAAACTTCACTTTTTAACTTTAGTTTGTTTGCAAGCAAGCACATAGTATATGACTTTTTATCTTTTCAACAGACTCTGCTAACTTTATGTGAACATTTGCTACAATGATCAGGACACTGTTCTTCAAACTCATTTTAACTTGATTAGTGATGAATTTTTTTCCACATAATCAAGTTTGGTGCATTTTATTAGTAGTAAGAGTAAGAAATTCTAGCAAGGGGTAAATCAAAATACATCCTTTACACTTACCTGCCATTTTTTCCTTGGTGGAGATGTAAATGAATCTTTCTTACTATGGTCTTTCCACTTTCAGTTCTTCCGAATTGACAGCAAGGGTTTATTTTTCATACAGAAATCCTCCTACCACCCAAGTATGGTGTATTCTGGACTTGAACCTACTTTAAAGTATTTTTCTTGTGTGTGACTGGGAGAGGAAGTATCAAAGCATTTGTGCAAGTACAAAGTGTATCACAAAAGTAGCTTCTCTCTCTAAAAATTTGAGTTTTATTTTTTAAAAACTTGGTGTAAAATGGCATACAGTGTGACAGGGAAAGATATATTTTCTCAATTATTTTTCAGTTTCAGAATTGTTTTTCTTAGTAATTCAAATCACAAAAACATCCAAGTTAGAGGGCTAGACTTAGCTGAACTGGGCCTCTGCAGTCTCTGGTTCTGCTCCCTTTAATTCTTGCTCACAGTAAAGCCATCGTTTCAGTAAAACCTCTCAGGAATCTTTTTTTAGGTGAACTATATTACACAACAGGAACTTAGAGACAGATTCATACTTTTGAAATAATTTACAGATAAAACTGCTCTTTGACAATAAAAAGTAATTAATACAATAAATAACAATGTAATACATTTAATGGACAGGAAAACGTCAGTGAAATCAGGAAGATGCCATTTGGATTACCTGACAAGAGCGAAACTGGTTGACTAGCAGCGTACATCTCTGTGGGTCCTTTCTTCCATCCAAACTGTCTAGTTCAGCTGCTACTTGATTTAGTTCCTCATCAGCGTAGTAAAACTGAGCAAGGAGCTGCGGGTCTGTTCTCTGTATTGAAGACAGAGACATATGCAACATTACATTATTTTTGCACATAAAAACTCACTTCAGCTCATTACAGATATTGTGATTTTCTTACATATAAGCCAGGTAAGTAGTGTGGCAGCATAGAAAAAAATGACCTTGAGACATTTATGTGCACTCACAAATTTTTTTCTACCCTGAAGAAAAAAAAATCTCATATAACAGCCTTTGGGGCATTATCCCCACAGCCACCCCAGCATTCTCACTACTTGTGGCATCATTATCTGGTGAAGCAAACCACTGAATCACAAGTTTTGTTTATTAAACAAAAGTATACTCCATTTCTAGGCAAAACAAGACAAAGTTGCTTTCCAGGTTAAAACAAACAAATAAATCCCTCCAAAATCTATCAATGTGATAATTTACCAAGCTCTGTGGTAACCCCTGCAACAAGATGCACAGTGCGATCTGGTCAGAATCCTCACTTTGAGAATCACAAGAGTCAAGTGACAGAAGGGAAAGGTACTGAATCTACCAGATATATTACCAGGGCTAAACAGATGTAAAGACTTTACAAAGCAAGTAATATGACTAAACAAGGCATTTCAGAGAGAAAACTATGCCACAAGTTTTCCAAGTGGCAAACAGAATTATCACAATGGATTTTTGGTCACATTAAAAAAAAAAAAATCAATTATAATAGAACAGAAGACTAATGGAATGCACAATCAAAAAATATTGAGAAATTTTAATAATAAAAGTTTACCCCATAAAAGGGAATTTTTAAAATATTATCAACTGGAATTTCTCATCCCTATGAAAGTTTTCATTAAAATATTGGAAAAATAACAGAAATCAGCAGGGAGAGGGGAGATAAGAATTTTTACTGTTGAAAGAGAGCAGAGGTACAAGTGGGAGGGGGGAGGGAGTAGCTTTTTATAGGTGCCAGCAACTTGGTGAAAGATTTATGGGCTCGGATAAACACGATCTCATATTATTCTAAAGAAGTAGTCAATAAAAGAAACACAAGATTGGTGGGAGATATCTATAAAATGAAAATAGTTGGTTTTAATCACAGTGTAAGAAACATTAAGACTACATTAACTGTAGACTGGGAATTAGAATTAGTTGTCACTAGATGAAAGAAAAAACACCTGATACTACAGAAAACAGCTGCTAAGTATCTGAAATTTATTATTGATGCAGTGAAGAATGAACCAATGCACAAATACTTTTAGAAGGGCCAGGGTATGTATACAACCAGTACAAATAAAGACTAAGCTGCATGGAAGCAATTTTAAGACACTCAAACATTGGGGGGAAAAAAAACCCAAAACAATATAGGGAAAAACTTCCCAGTAAAGAAAATTGCATAAAAAGAAAACATTGCTTTCATAAACTAAAAAAAATAGCAAAAACATAGAAAATACAAGAAGCAACACATTTCAAGTGACAGATAATGAAGATGTACAAGATAACTACATCAGAGCATTAAACAAGTACTAACAGAAACAAGTGTAAACAGTGAAGGAATTAGTCAACAGCAAAACAGAAGATAACATCACTCTAAAATAAAACATTACCAAACGCAACAAATGGCAAAAGGCAAAACCACCAAGGGAATAACGAGGAAGTATATGTTGCAAACCACAACATCTTCTATCTGAAACACAAACCATTTCCACTGCTGTAAAAGAGCTAAATATCAAAGTAGTTAAGGGATGGGCACACGGATACAGTGGGATAAGGAACGCTGCCGTTAGCAAACCACAGGTTTAAAGCACTAGCAGAAGTGATAAAGGTTTACTGGAGAGCTGAATCTCGCGCTCCACATACACCCAGTCCTGAAGACACGAGCTGTCTGCGATCACATGAAAATATTAGCAGCAAATCTCTGCCAACAGCCACGCAGCTTCAGAAGTGGTGAGAGCACAATAAGGGCACACCAGGAATACTTGAAAACCAACAGTTATTTTTGCTTCATACTTCCAAAAAGTAATTCAACAGAAAGTACCACAAACTAATGTTCAATTCCCTATTTTAGTCTCCACAAGATTCCTATCCTGCAGAAAAATCCTCTCAAGCCTTGTCCTGGTTTTGCTAGGATAGAGTTAATTTTCTTTTTAGCAGTTAGAAGAGCCATGTTTTCGTTTCAGCAGAACTTGTTATGAGAAGAACATCGATAAATGTACAAATGTCATTAGTTGCTGCTGGAGCCCAAGGCCACTGTGTTTGGCTGCTTCACAGCTGCATTAGGACTGGGAGGGGGAAGTGCAGTGAACAGCAAAACCCCAAACTGGCATTTGGATGTGCCAATGAAATATTCCATATCATATCCCGTCATGTCAGTGTATTAACCAGGGCTGACTGGAAGACGGGGGTATTCTCTCGGGGATCGCTCGGGCTCTCGCTTTTCTAGGGTTTGGGTTTTGGGACTGTCTCAGCTCCGGGATCGCTGGCTGGGACAGGCTGGGCATTGATCAGTGGGTGGTGAGAGATTTTACTGTGTATCACTCATTTGTATATTCTGTTATCACTGTTATCATTAGTATTTTATTTTAATTAGTAAATAGTTTTTATCTCAACCCGTGAGTTTCCTTGCCCTTTTCTTTCCAATTCTCTCCCTGCTCCCTGGGCAAGGGAGGGGGAGGGTGAGAGAGCAGGTTGTGCTTGGCTGCAAGCAAAAAGGGTGAATCCACCCAAACCACCACAGGCCTTCACAGTACAACATTCAAACCTGCACAGTGTACAACCCTTGAAAAGGAAGAACAGAGTATTAACACCTTTTGAAGAGAAGAGCATACATCCTCCACTCTTGACAGGATCAAAGAGTTAACTACGCTGCAAGTATTTTTATTGCTGTAAGACGTAAGGAAAAAGATTATAGTCTTACTGATGCTAAATATGCCCTCAGTGTTACATGCTGGATTGGTTCTCAGCAATAACGAGACAACAGTCCTCCCTGAAAACAGAGGCACCAAATCCTGTTCCTACCTGTCTTACTTAAGCATTAATATAATGAATTTAAGGCTATATTTAACATTGCTGTGAGCCCTCACACTGCCTGGCAGCTTTCTACATTATTAGGTCACACCATTCAAATTCTGAGGCAAGTCAGAAATGAGACATCTTTTCAGGCAGTTGAGATGTAGTAATGAAAGTGTTAGGGTTTTTTTTCTTCTTTAAACAGCCATCTTCTACAAAATAGAGAGCCTTTCCAATCATAAGCTTCTTCCTCTCAATCTTTTCAACTTTGTCTTTTACTAAACAGTTTTAGTTCCCTAAATGTAAGCCATCAAAAATTTACATATTTGAATAATATCTTCACTATAGCCTTGATATAAAGATGTCCAGGGAGAAGGAGAAAGCTTGTGATATACAGTCAGGAAAACAAACAAAATTAAAAATTAATGATAGTAAGAAGGAGAGCCTATAACTGAACTACTAGAACTAAACCAAATTAAATTTAAACTTCAGCATTTACAAAGCAAGGCTTAGTAAAGCACTTCTTTCAGCTCTTCCCCCATCCAATTATTTTTATTATTTCTGATTTTTAAATTGTCCTTCAGCATTTATCTACATTCATTAAGACTTTCTAGAGAAAGTTTATAGACAAAGCTGTTCACCAAAGATGCAGGAATTCACATGTGGAATTGCGGCAAAGCCTAGCTGTTGATTCACAAGCATCTAAATTGCACTGCAGAAGCAAAATAAGACAGTTTATTAAAACTGGTGTCAAGCAAAACAAGTAAGGCTGAGATATTTAGCTCCCACATGGCTGATCTTTTAAATTGGAGGAACAAAAGTTTTAATTGAGTTCTCTCAACTGTGTTATGTTTGGTGCAGATTAGTAGCATGATCTTTGATTAATTGCGTCAATCATATGTGGTCCCTGGCAAGCCAAAGCTGCATGAAATTCTAAATCTCTTCACAGGGGGCCATTTAAAGCAAATAACCACAACTTTCTAAATAAATTTGTTCCAACTGGTAGGCAAAAAATAAGACAGCACCATGCTCTATGCCAAATTTTACTTTCAGTTTATGCAAAATATGGTTCAAATAATTCCATCTGAATTACTTATTCTTTGGCAGAACAAGAATTAGTAATTCCCATCCTCAGGTGCTCAAATGAATAGAAAGACTTCATTTGCAAACACCTAAAGAGAACCTACCACTGATCCTGGCAGTTTGCGTCGGGAATTAAGCACACTTACCACCAAATTAATGCATCTAATCTCTTGTTTTGATTTGCTGGACTTCAGCTTCTAGATACTGCTCTTGTTTTGCCTTTTTCCACTAAAGCATCAAGTGCTTATGTTACTTCATCCACATACTTTTACCACATCACTATTATAGGTTACACATATGGTCTGAGATTTGGGGGGGGGGGGGGGATTTTGTTTTGGACTGGGTTTTTTGAGTCTGTGTATTGTTGGTATTGTTTTTGTTTTAAACCTGTTACCAACCCAACACCCTCCTGAGTGTGAGGTATCCAAGTAGGAGTCTCATTCTGTAAGTTCACCCTGTGCTCCTTCTAATATTTCTTTACATTCAACATTCAAAAGGATTCAGCTCACCAAACGCTCCAGGTTATTGTGTGTACCTATACTGCCAGAGTATCATTTACCACACCACTGCAGCACATTCTCCACAGATCTGAAATCATCACTTCACACGTGGTTCATAACTTATTATGCCGATTTGTATGATGTACATTGACCACCACTCCAGTTAGTACAAAGACAGGAATCAGTACATCATCAATTACTTTTTTTAAAAACATTTAGCCATGTCATGTAATATCACATTATTCATCTTTTTTATGAAAGATCACTCACTATTTCATTTAATAGTTTTTACTTTTTATTAGGTACCACTCTCATTAGGTCAGAGATCAAAATCAGAAGACAACTGTCTGACATTTGCAAGGTAAGTATAAAACTGTCCACAAGAAAAAGTTGTATTCACTATTGAACTGATTACACTTGGGTCTTGCCTATGAAGTCCTACCAATGCAC